AAGTAATGAGCCCGAAGCAGCCCAGGTGGAACTATGAGGCAGCAGGTCTGACCCCACCGTCTCTAAGCCGCTGTACTCTTCTGCGTCTCTACTTACGGTTGGTTTTCTTGCTCTAGTTGACTTGCATGAGGACGTGAAAGCTATAAAATCTCCACTGCTTTGAGAGTGGGGGAAACCCACCAGAACACTGTTTCTAGACAAACCAGTCTCTCGGTTGGTTTTCTTGCTCTAGTTGACTTGCATGAGGACGTGAAAGCTATAAAACCTCCACTGCTTTGAGAGTGGGGGAAACCCACCAGAACACTGTTTCTAGACAAACCAGTCTCTCTAGTCTGGAGACCAGTTGAATTCCCTCTGTTGCCCCAGACTCTCCAAAAAACAGCTGCTCATTAAAAATTAAAATGCTGAAGAGCCTTTTCTTGACTTAAAGCATCTTACAATAATCAACACATGGGAAGGCAGAGAAAAAATTCTACGGCTGATTTTAATGAAATACACTTTTCTCATCAAAATATTTTGATAGCGTGGGAAAAGAGATGTGTGCTCATTAAAGTTTAATGAATGTCTCTGCCTTCTGTATTCCATATGAAGATCACACACTTTGACTCGCATATGGTGGGTGCTAGGAATAGTTAACCAGGAGCACAGTTGAACCCAATCCCGATCTTTATTGTCGCAGGATGGTCCCATTAGGGTGTGAGAACACGTTAGCCGCTGGCCTAACCAACTGCTTTGGCCGACATTGACTTGCATTCAGACAGGTAGGCCCAATATTGCTCCAGGTTGGCCTAGATTTGCTCTAAGAAGGGAATTAGGTAAGAACAGCTGGAAACTTGCTGCCAGGCAATGCCAGTTCCAAGGCTGAGCTGGGGACCCTAGAAGAAGACAGTGCCTTGGGCAAAGGCTTTGAAGAGAAGGGAGAAAGAAAAGAGGCTCTGACTTTTGGGAGGGCAGACTCAACGTTCATGTTATATTCATGCTCTAGAATCTTCACTGAAACCCGTCTGTCCACAGAGTCAGTTACGAAGCTCTCATCCCAAAATGTCGAGCTTACCTCGGAATGGCCACATGCTGCCTTTTCTGGATCACCTCCGTTGGCCCCTGTCCCTGACTCTACTCCAGCGGGGGCAGGCTTGGCACTGCAACCCACACCTGCCCTCTGCTGTCCCCCACCCTGGCTGTCACTTTCTCCTAGTACCTGGAACGGTCTCTCTATCGTCTCTGCTGGTTGAATGTTAAACATCCATTGGGATCATCTATAATTCTACAGCCTCGGTTCTTGATACCCCACTCCGCTCAAACTCGTTGGTCTCTCCTCCTCGAAACACACAACTCTGTTAAGGCATCATCACCTCCTGCTTTCTGTGAAAGTTCCAGTGTGAGAGCAATGTAGCGGAGCAGTTACCTGCGCAGACTCTGGAGTCAGAAAGACCTGGGGGAGAAGCTTCTCTCCTCCTGTCATCAGGCACAGGATCACGGGCAAGGTACTTACGAACAGCAATAATGGCAGCATTGACACCAACCGGCACATGCTAGTGTTCACTGTGACTCAGCTGTTAGACGTCCAGCAACTCACTGCACACTCACAACAACCCCATGAAGCGAGTGTCACCAAGGCTTCTATCTTACAGGCGAGAAAACAGGGGCTAAGAGAGCTTACGTGACTTGTGAAGGGCCACACAGCCATCATGCTGAAAAAAAGCCTTTGAACTCAGTTTTGGTTCCAGAGCCCATGGTTTGACCACTAGGCTACATGCACCTCCCTTTCTGGGCCTCAGTTGTCTCATTGGTAAGATGGAGGTTATAGCAATCCCCTCCTCGTGGGTGGGTAATGAGGATTAAATAGCACAGGAGAAGTGCTCAGTGATACAGTGTCTTATAAACCACAGCTGCTCTCACTGATGTCGCCGCTGCCAGTCCCATCCTCCCCCTGCCTGTAAACTCAGGACGGAAGGGCCATGACCTCCTCTTTGTCACCTGGCTTCATTCTGTGCCTGGCACATCCATCCTCAGCAAGCTTGGGAGGGTCGTTCAGCTGCGAGCCCATGCCGGGCTCGAAGAGACTGACGAAAGACACGAGCCTTTCCCTAGAATTTGGGAACATGCCTCCTGGGTAATCCCGGACCCCTGAGCCATATGGTTTTGTGCATTTATTGCATTTGGCCCCCTTTGCAGCTCTTGTTCTATACAATTTATCTGACTCTTCTCCTTGAGGTCTCCTGTGTAATATTTCAACTTGATGTTTTTTTATTCCTCCCTTTCCTTCACCTGCACTTCCCCTCCCCCCGTCTCTGGTCCTCTTTCCCTCCTCAGTGGCTGCTGGGACAAGAACCACCATCTGCAAACCATGGCTCTGTATTTCACATGTCCAGTAGGCTAAGCAGCATCCCAGGTCCCTGGTCCTTTAGCCAGTTTCTGGAATCGGGGCCTCTCATAACTCAGTGACACCTGGGGGGTTTTTAGGGTGTCAGGTGCTTTACCCAAGAACACCTCTTCCCCTTTTTGGATTTAGTTTATTTGGTGGTTAACAAGGTTAATGGGGTTCATGATTAAGGAACAGTTTGTGGGGTGACAGCTCATCCACCCTTTCCTGAACAAACTTGGCACTGGAGAGAAGCCAGAATTTCCAACTCTCTCGAGCTCAAGTCCCAGTCAAATGGCTCCACCTCTAAATCAGTTTCCTCCAGGAACAGCATCCCTCATTCCTTTGTGGAAACTAGACCAAAACAAAACAGCTCTTTTTACAGTATGTCCTCTCTGCCCAGGCCCACTAACTTGTGGGAGAAGGTATTTCTGACTCCGCCACTGGGGAATTAAACTGCTCTATAAGTAAACCCAAAATATAACTAACAAATAATCCTGCAGATTAATAATGCCTAAAAGATCAAAGTGATCAGTTTCTTTCAAACATCCAGTTTATTGTCAGTGGTGCAATTAAATTCTATTTTACGCTGTGGTTTGAGCACTTCGCAGCTTGGAAAGGCTCTCTCCCGAGGCCTGTGCAGGGACAAGTGTGGCTTCTTAATTAGCTAAGCGCGTAGGGATTGCTCGGGTGGGAAAGGTCGTTGAGCTTATGCATGAGCCTCCCCTGTGTGGCTGGGAGGGACTCTGAGTCCTGGATGAGGGCTGGCATAGGATGTCACTCCCCAGGGTGACTAGTGGGGCCTGGGTTCCTGCTTCTAGGGCAGAGAGGGATCTCAGGCATGT